CTTGGTCCCACTTTTTAAACAATTTCCAAAAACCTCTGCTCTTGTCTGCACCCGATCTCGATGCAACAGTTTTGGAACCCATCAAGTGGAAAGTCTGCTCACCTGTAACTCTTTCAGTCAGTTGAAATGCCTATGGTGTTGGCTATTATCTTTGCTGTTAATCGTTGGTCCTCTTCAGTTAGGGCAAAAATGAGATTCATTTTTTCCTCACAGATTGATGTGGCTGGTTTGCTGCTGTGTGCTTCATGCTCAGCATCCTCTAGTTTCTTCTGAAAATGAGCTGCCTATTTATAAACTGCTGATTTCTCTGGGGCACTGTCCCCATAAACTTTTCGTAAAGCATCAGTGATTTCACTATTCTTCCACCAAACTTCACCATTGATTCGCTGTGTACTTTTGCTTCAATCTTGGCAGAATTCATGTTTCTGATAGGGGTTCTTTTTAAGCTGATGCCTTATCCTTCTTAGTGCCTCAGACTAGATCCTGTTCAGATATGTTAGAACAAGGTAGTATGAGTTTAGTTTTGTACAAAAAAAAAAAAAAATTTGAAATCCATGCATAAATTTTTCATAGTAAGTCTTTTCCATGAACTTTTTGAAGACTCCTCATAGGCGAGGGAGAGAAGGATCATGGGCAAGAGGAGAAGTAGGGAGACCTGGTAGGAAGCTTCTAGAGCAATCTAGGAGAGAGATGATGGTGGCTAAGATAAGGGAAGAGGTGATGAGAAGTGACGGGAGTTTGGATACACTTTGAAATGAGAGCCATTAAGGCATATGGATGAGGGTATAAGAGAAAAAGAGGAGGTGGTGATTACTCCAAGATTTCTGATCTGAGGGTTTGTTAGCTCTAAGTGTACTGTAAGCTCCTGGTGACCACTATGTGGAGAAGACATGCCCCGGGGGAGGAGGAGGGACCAAAAAAGAGGAAATAGAGTCAAGAAAAGAGAGGATGAAATGGGTTCCCAATATCACCATTTTGACAGCTGCACCTAAAGATCCACTTGACTTTTTATTCATATAAATCAATTCGTATTGATATAAACCACTGGGGAAATTTGCATATAGATTAGACATAAGATAATATTAAGAAGTTTTATAAGAAAATATTTTTGGAAATGCATACTGAAGTATTTAGAGGTGAAATATCGTGGTGTCTATAATTTATGTTAAAATACTTTGGTGTAAAGTAATGTATTGAGTTTAAAAATAAATAAATTGGTTTCCAAGGAAAGATGGCGACGGGTCTGAGCGGCCTGCCAGGAGACAGCGCGATCCTG